TCTGATGTTGTTTCAGGGATAGATGTTTTATTTACGTCCTCTTTTAATCCATTTTGATCACTTTGAATCCATTTCATTAGTTTAAAGTTCAGTTTTATGTTTATAGTATCATTAGGTTCTCCATTTATATAAAATTCAGTCTATAAACGTATATAAAAAATTGAATATCAGGTATGTTCTGAAATTCGTTCGCTTTGAAATCGATACGATTTTAGAAATATTTTTTTGGATTTTTAATCATAAAACTCATAATTTGGTATTGATGTGGATGATATAACATCGCTGATGTTTCTGTTATATTTTTTATATAAAATATTCAATCATTTCATCAGAAATAACGATCAATATTTAGCAAATCATATCGATTTCAATCGTTCAATTTACAGAACATGCCTGTATATGTATATATGTATATATATTTTAAAATTAGAAAACATTTTTTCTATTATTATTAGATCTTTTTAGTAAAAGCTTGCCTTCGCCCTTTGTTTAATTTATATATGTTTATATAATTTACATAAAACCTTTCACAAAAAATAGACCTTATTCACAGCAAATTTCTTTGATAAATGAGAACTCATCTCAATAAAGAGATAAGTTTATATACTACATTTTCATTTCTCTAATAAGCATAAGAATTCAAAAATTGGCGGGCTTTCAAAACGTCAATCACATTTAATAAATCAATGTCAATTTAAAAAGAATTTAAAAATAGCCAAACAAAAAATTTTATACTATACATATATATTTAATTTCTCTGATAAGCCCCAAGTTGTGGTGTGATTTTTAAAACATGAATATATTAGCCTATTCATCTATTTATTAATTAAGAATAACCTTGATCTTGATTTCATCATAATTGTTTGTCTAATAAGTATATTAATGCCAAGTGGACGATAACGAACCCACATAAATATATAAAAAAAATGCTTAAAAATGCTTGACTTACTGAAAAAAGTAGTTAAGTCCACTTTTTATGAAAACTCATATTTTGATATAGGTGAAAATCTATAATTTCTATGAGTTAATAAAGTTATTACTTATATGAAAACGGATGAACTTATATGAAAATTAACGAAATTATATGAGTTCATCAATTTAATACTTGTATGAAAATCTATAATTTCTATGACTTAATAAAGTTATTATTTATATGAAAAATTATAACTTGTATTAGTTAATAAGGCAATTACTTATATGAAAGCTGATGAACATATATGAAAATTAATGAAATTATATGGGTTCATCAAGTTAATACTTATATGAAAATCTATAATTTCTATGAGCTAATGAAGTTATTACTT